GATAATCCATTTTTTCCCCTACCAATCACCCGCACCGCCTCTTCACTCTATTCTCCTCCGCCACTTCTAGACTCGAAATCCTCCTCCCTTTCCTCCAGAATTTTCTGAAAACTCGCCCTTCCTCAAGCTCTAATCCACCCTCCCCACCCCACCCCTTCCCCCTCCCTTCCTCCCCCCTCCTTCCTCCCTCACTCCCTCTCCCGCTCACCAACACCCCGAAGCGAAAAGCCGTCTATCGTTATTTAGGAGGGCGAGAAGCGTTTGCCTGCAGCGCCATGCTTACTGTCATCTGTAATCGCTCTAATACGCACTTTAAGAATCGCTACTGGTATTGAGGACGCGCTAGTTGTTCAGCCCAGGTATTGACATTGTCTACGTCCGCTCGTGTGAACAGCGGGCAAGCAAGCAAGCAAGCAAGCGAGTGTTCAGATGTTCTCTCGTTCTCCCACCCCCCCCTTCCCCCCCCTTCCATTTCCACGGTTCATCCAACGAGATCGACCGATTTGCGTTGTGTCTATTCGTACGTGTTTATAGACACGTAAAACTACAATATCAAATCTTTGATTTCTATCTTAAGGTAATAAATCACCCGAATATATAAGGAGATAGATGGATAGACGTTCGGATACTGTTTATCTAGAGCGATTACGATTAGGCAGTAACAGAAGTACGATCATAAGAATAAAGAAAATTGTTGCGTGGTGTGCTCAGACACCTGTACACCTGCGTTAATGGCACTGGCACCTTATTTACGTCATCCGCAATCTCTGACGTCACACAATAATGTAATACCTGCTGAGGACTCCAAGAGCCGATGTTGATCGCCCGTTTCAAGTTTATTTGTGATAAACAGTATACTCTGTAGCTTGCGTCTGTGTGTGCGCGCACTGTGCATTAAACAGACAACCTTTCTCGGCAAATGCTTATTACAGAGCGGGCCAATAGTGTTTCGCAAAATATAATAAATATCGGAACAGGTGCATGCTGATTGCGTGGATGTAGACAGAGGTACAGTCAACACCCATACTGTATAGCGGACAATATTTATCAAGAGGAAACACAGGAAAATCCAGAATGCACAAATGATAAATAAAAATCATAAAAGGCAAAATGTAAAAGAAATGAAGTAAAAAATAATAATAAATAAAAAGGTAAAACGGAATGGAACATATATAAAGGAGTTCGCTCAATAACTATTTATTTGATATTTTAAAAAATATCATTTTATCGGTGACAGTCTTTGTTATCATTATCACTGCTGTTATCATGATTATCATTAATGTTATTGTTTTCTAATATTATTGCTGTTATTTCTGTTGCTAAAGGTCATCCATTTCTATATATTACTTTCTTTTCTTTCCATTCTTATCGTTATGATTATTATAATTATCCACACACACACACACAACGATAATCACATGAATTAGCATGTCTCTACGGACGTGACATGTGCCAATAACACCTGAAGCTCTGCGCATCACGATTTTCTTTTGTTATAGTCGATTGTCACGTGATTATTTTGCTGTCACTGTTGGTATTGTTACAATAGTTGCGATTTATCGATTTTTGCTTACGCTTAAATCTCATTTACTAATACAATGAAAAATATATTATGAATAGAATACAAATTACTCAATATCTAACGGACAGTTGATGCTGCGTTTATGGGCAAGAAAAAAACATACATTTTTTCATGATCATTTCCAACTCGATTATGATAGAAACATCTTCACTAAGTAAAACCTTTAATTTAACTTTGCTTCTTTGGATTATAATAAAGATAATGAATAATAATAATCATAATGATACACTGTTATCATCACCATAAGCAGCATCACTGTCATTAATTCTAGAATATATATTTTTTTTATTATTGCCATTATATTTATTTTATCGATTATACTAATGCCACTGATACTTCTATTAAGACGTAAACCATTACCAGTTGAATTTGTAATTACTTTATAATTGTTATTATTATTCTCATTTTCAAAAGTGTTATCACTTAGTATCGTCATTACCATTACTGCCATCATCATCATTAGTATTATCTTTACGGCCAATGCAATCAGCATTACCTCAGTTCTCAATACTTTTTTCTGAAATACTATAACTGAAATTTCTATAACACTTACCAATATCACCGTTAATATTCTCCATGGCATTACCAGTATCCAAACCATAGTTATCACGTGACCAACTATACTGTATCACGTGACCAACCAGACTAAGTGTTATTTTCGTTCTATACCAATATGACGTGATCTTTCTAATCACAGCTGGCCAATTTTGGAGACTCGTCATGGTGTTCATTATTATTTTAAGTCTCAACAACCTCCATCTTTTTTATTTACCTTTCTTTTACTTGATTTATCAGTGTATTTCCCCATTCCTGTCTTTTTTATATATATCTAATTATTTGTGTCTCTTGGTATATTTTCATTTTCTAATGTCTGTGCACGTGATTAAATAAGCACACATATGCATAGCTGTTTCTGATTTGCATATTTATATTTTTGCTTTGTAGATCTATGTATATACATACATACATGTATATACGAATGCATGTATACATATACATATATATGTGTGTATGTATATGTGAATATATGTGCATACACAGAAGTATGCATATATACGTGTGTATATATATATAATGTATATGAATATTCATACATATAAACAAAAATGTATTAAAAGTTATATGTATGTATGTGTGTGTGTGCGTGCGTGTGTATCAACATATGTGTATATACATATACATACAAACTTGTGTACATAGAAATATGTATACGATATATATACATACATCCATCTATAAATTTATATGCGTGTGTATGCATGTATATACACATCCAATATATAAATAAGTATACATTTGTACATGTATATACATATGTCTATACATACACCTATATGTATATATATGTTTATACATACATTTGTATGCACATATATACATATATACATATATATATATAGTATACAAACATTAGTGTTTGTGAGTATGTGTGTATATATATGAATATAATTTGTATATGTATATATGTATATATATACATAAATATAAACATATGTCTATACATATATATGCATGTAAGCTTATATGCATATATACATATATGTATATATATACACATATATACATATATATACACATACATATATATATATTGTTTATATGAAGTGAAAAAACGAAAAAGAAAGTGTATTATGATTACCACTGCCATTATCATTTCCAAATTTTATCATTTATCAGTGTCTCACATGATTCTTTTTCTATTACCCATATTTCTATTTTTCTTTCAATCCTCTTTTCAACATTACCATTACATTCACTATTACTATCATCTTCAAAATCATGACAGATTATATGATGCAATGTTCGCGTCCGTCATTTTTACATTACACACACACACACACACGCGCGCGCACACACACGCACGCACACACACACACATACATAGACACACACATACATACATAGACACAGACACACACACACGCACACACATACATAGACACACACACACACACACACACACATACACACACACACACACATATACAAACATACACACATACACACATACATACACGCACATACACACACATTTATACATATAGGATTTATGTAATGTATTTGTAGATAAGGAGGGATGGATGGGTACATGTATGCATGTCTATGTATATATGTGCATGTACATATATAAGCATGCATACAGAAATATATACATACATATGTATACATATATATGCACACACATTAATATATGCATATAAATATACATATATATGCATACACACATGTACACACACACACACACACATGTGTATGTCTATAGATATATACATACACACACACACATGTGTATGTCTATAGATATATACATACACACACACACACACACACACACACACACACACACACACACACACATATATATATATATATATGAATAGATGGACAGTTACATATATACATACATATTGTAAATATATATACGTATGTATCTATATATATGTATATATATATATTATGTGTCCGCGTGTGCGTGCGTGCGTGTGCGTGCGTGCGTGCATGCGTGTGTGTGTGTGTGTGTGTGTGTGTGTGTGTGTGTGTGTGTGTGTGTGTGTGTGTGCGTGTATGTATACATACATACATACATACATCTATATACTTATATATACTTATATGCATATGTGTCTATGTGTGTGTATATATGTATGCACATAATGAATGTATTTATATAGACATATACATATATCTATATGTGTGTGAGCGTGTGTGTGCGTGGGTGTGTGCAAGTGTGTATATATATACTGTATATACATCAATATATACATATGTGTGTATGTCTGTACGTGTGTGTATATGTGTGTATATGTGTGTATATGTGTATGTGCATGTGCATGTGCATGTGCATGTGTATGTGTATGTGTGTATGTGTATGTGTGTTATATAGATAGATAGATAGATAGATAGATACAGAGACAGAGAGAGAAAGAGAAATTAATCAACTAATGGAACGCCTGATTACTGGTCATTATTAGAGTTATCATTTGTTCATGTACATTGATAACTTATTAATATTTTTCTTCTTCTATAAACGCACCGAAAAAGCAGATGAAATATAATTTCAATTACAGTAATATACCAAACAATATTTACATTAGTAATTTAGCTTCGTGTGTGTGTGTGTGTGTGTGTGTGTGTGTGTGTGTGTGTGTGTGTGTGTGTGTGTGTGTGTGTGTGACGAAATGCGTAAGTAGGTAGGTAGGTAGGTAGGTATCTGTGTGAGTGTATGCATGAATGTATATTACTACTTCGAAAATAAGATGAAAGATACAAAATAAAGAATTTAAGAATTTACGCAAAACTTTCGCCGAGATCCGACCAAAACGCGCCTGCAGGAATTACGCAAACAGGCATTTAATTATCAACTATCCTTTAAAATACGACTTTCCAACAGCCAAAATTTAAAAAAAAATGGACTCACCAGAAGACTGACAGAAAGTAGCCATACTTCCAATGCTGTTGTTGTTGTTGTTGTTATTGTTATTATTTTCCTTCCACTGGTCTTGCTGTGTTGAGTAGCTGTAGCTAGTCATATTGCAAAGCCGCGTTTTCAAGAGCGACCGATGGTGGCGAGCTTAATGGAGGTATTGTGCAATGGTGCAATGCAAGCGCACTGTATGGGTTGCACTCAATGAGTCTTTATTGGTTTCTCCTGATGAAGACTTCCTTCTGGTGCGCACGCGGGATATGGCAACTGGTTTATTTAGTTTTTGTTTTCGTTTTTTTTTTCCTTCCTTCTCTCCCCTTGACACAAGTCATGCGATGGTCACTATAGCTATAAATGTCATTGAGGATTCTGACAGACACTGTATTTCGTTCGGGGTTGGGGGGGGCACACTATAGATTTTGGAAGGCACTGTAGCTTTGGCGGGTCCCAGTAGTTCCCGCGGCTCTCACCAGATGGCGTACGCGAACACATGCAGGTCCGGCAGAGGCGCTGGAGCAGGCCACCAATCCTCTCACGGGGCTGCCTTTAAATCACTTGCGGTGCGATTGTTACGGCGACTTCCCTTCCGCGCGCAGCCATTAGGATCGAACCCTTTTGTGGATAATGGCAAAGGACGCGTGTGCACCGGGCGCGTAATCGCCACCAGAGCTGACATAGGTGTCGGCGAAGGGCAGAGGAGAAGCGCGGATTTTGTCCCCGTAATACAGGTGTGACGAGGGCCCCGGCGAGACTCTTTCGAGGCTCTGCACCAACAAGCGTCCAAGACAAATATGGTCGATTGCGAGACAGTGAGTTTTACAATACGGCCACAGCTTAACAGCTCGCCGATGAATACCAAATCACCTTAAGCGATTCTCCCCGCTGTAAGGGCGAGTTTGTCATTGAATAAAAGGATGTTAAGTGCCTTGGCGGGCGAACAATAGAAAATCTGGGCGGGCTTACCGACTCTCCTACGCGTATGACGGGGCAACGCCGCTGATCCGCGCGCTGATTGGTCCTCGCGCATCCGGTGGGCGGAGCCTCCAGCGCTGTTGCCTTTCGGTGGGTTCTTGTTTATTCGCTTATAGGTTTAGATACAAATATATAGTAAAAATATAGTCGTATTCTAATTCATAATTCTTATGATCGGTTCTGCTTGCGAGTTTAGATCATTCGAATGACGATAACGGGATGATTAGATTTGTCGCCTTAAATACCCGCAGGAAAGCACCAGAAATGCCATAAGAACTAGCACACGTATGGCGGCGCAGGGAGGTTCCGTGTCGTGAAAGATAATACTGTCGCCGAGCGTTGCCACAAGCACCTGTTCCCGGCCAATGCTGCTTCCACAGGATTATCCCTCATTATCCAGCTTTCCTATCGCCACCACTCGCCCCCAACGAACGAAAGACAAGCGATGAAACTTACATGCATGTCACGATAAATGTTTAAAAAGAACATAAACACTTCCCCGTACTAAATCGAGTCGAAGAAAATGGGGCGAAAATGACTTTAGACGATTCTTCCCCCCTTCGAAAAGACATTCCTTCTAGAAGACCGAGGTGTACGATCCCCGGGCACCTCAAACCACGTCAGTTGAACTAATATTCCTCTCACAATGGACTTCCGGTGGCGTGGGGGAAGGGGGGGGAGGGGGGAGGGAGGGCCACAGTTTTGTTTTATGAGACGACGGGCGCCAGGCAGAACAATGGCCACTGATATTAACCTGTTTCTTAGGTAAGACAAACCGGAAACGTGAGATGGGAGTGCTAAAGTTGGGGGGGAGGGGGGAGGAGGTTTTGGGCGTGTGTGTTTTCCACAGTTTTGTTTTATGAGACGACGGGCGCCAGGCAGAACAATGGCCACTGATATTAACCTGTTTCTTAGGTAAGACAAACCGGAAACGTGAGATGGGAGTGCTAAAGTTGGGGGGGAGGGGGGAGGAGGTTTTGGGCGTGTGTGTTTTCCACAGTTTTGTTTTATGAGACGACGGGCGCCAGGCAGAACAATGGCCACTGATATTAACCTGTTTCTTAGGTAAGACAAACCGGAAACGTGAGATGGGAGTGCTAAAGTTGGGGGGGAGGGGGGAGGAGGGTTTGGGCGTGTGTGTTTTCCACAGTTTTGTTTTATGAGACGACGGGCGCCAGGCAGAACAATGGCCACGAGAAGAGAAGGGAAGGGGTGGGGTAGGGAGGGAGGGAGAGAGGGGGGGAGGAGGGTTTGGGCGTGTGTGTTTTCCACAGTTTTGTTTTATGAGACGACGGGCGCCAGGCAGAACAATGGCCACTGATATTAACCTGTTTCTTAGGTAAGACAAACCGGAAACGTGAGATGGGAGTGCTAAAGTTGGGGGGGAGGGGGGGAGGAGGGAAGAAGGGAGAGGGGGAGGAGGAGGAATAAAAGTAGTGAGGCCGTGGAGGTAGAAAGAGGTAAGTGGAGATGATAAAGAAAAGGCGAGAGGACAGACAAAGGCTGAGAATTAAAAGGAAGTGTGGTAGAAAGGGCGGATAAAAAAAAAGTACGAATGAAGGAGACAAAAGAGAAAGCCGAAGGAGAAGGAAGAATTGGACGTGTAATGGAAACCAAAGGGAAAGTAATGAGATATGAGATGAGATTCTTGAAATGTCTGATAAGAACGAAAGACGGAGGAAAAAAAGATCGACTTAAGAGCAAAAGAATAAATATGTGAAAAGGGAAATGCAGAAAAATTGAATCTAAGGAAGACAAGGGCGAGACCAAACGACCAAGAGGAATAACAAAGGAAAAAAAAACTGAAAGAGGAAATGAAGACAAATTCAGTTAAAAACGGGAGGAAAGACAGGATAGAAGAGGAAATGGAAGAACGCGAGAAAAAGGACAAAGGCCCAAAGAAACATCATCCAACCGAAAACAAAAAAACCGAGAACATACTGTGAATACAAATCACCGAAAATATCATAAAGATTCAGGAGACATTCGAAAGGGTAATACAGTATAACAACCACAGTTCACCTTCAATGACTGACTTTCACATTAGGCAGATGTCGCACAAAAGGGCAATACAGTATAACAATAACCTACAAGTCACCTTCAATGATTAACTCCCACATTAGCCAGATGTCACCCACAGATGTTCGACACACAACAGATAAGAAAGATATTGCGCCGATCGTAGCATACGGTGCACTAATTCCGATCATGGTTATCAGAACCCGAACGACAAAAGGTGATACATGCTCGTTACAGAAATGGGTAATACTACCGATACCAGAGGTGGCAACTGTAACAATAAAGGTGTCACACTGAAGCTAGTAAAATCGTTATAACGAAGTGAGGAGAGCTGTCAAAGCGTGAGTGGTTTGAATGTTATACTGACGTCAGTAAAGGTGTTTGACCGAAAGTGGTAAAGCCAGTATAACAAAACTATCATGGATGTTATAACGAAACTACTAAAGGTATCAAAACGAAATCAGCAACGAAATAGTAAAGGTGCCACATGGATATAGAAAAAAATGTCTTTACATCGAAACTAGTAAATCCGACACGATTTAACTAGCACAACCTATTATACCGAAACGAATAGACATTATTAAAGGGCTTAACATCGAAACTATTAACATTATACACACTCAAGAAAAAAAATATATATGAAAACGTTTCGATGAGATAATAATATATATTTTTTTTATTAATGGGGGAAAACAAAGGTAAACTGCGCGGGTTTAAATCCTTCCACGGACCGAGGTTTGGAAAGGCATCCACTAGAGGTAGAATTCGTAACCGGACGAATAAATGTGATACGGGAAAGGGAATTCGTAGAAAGAAAAAGAAAAGAAAGAAAATTGTGTTAAAGGGAAACGAAGAACACATGACGGAATAAATATATATATGAAAAAAATATATATACACATCTTTATATACTAAAAACTAACGGAAACTAAAAATAGAAAAGAGTCACTTGAAACTAGAAAATCAAGTAGTGAATATATATACATACATATATACACATCTTTTTATATATACATATATTTATATACACATATTTTTATATACATATTTTTTATATACATATATATATATATATATATATATATATATATATATATATATATATATCATATTTATATACAAAGACACACACACACACACACACATATATACATATATATATATATATATATATATATATATATATATATATATATATATATATATATACATATATATATAATGTAAAGAGCATTTCTACATTAATTTTTTTTAATGTTTCGAAACCAAAATAAAACGAAATGAAATAAAAACTAAACGACTGGCTTTCGTTCAATAGTAAAATTTACACAGAAAAGGCGTGACAATAAAGCACACACATAGATGATTGTTGAAATGACATCGTAAAAAAAAATAATAAAATAAAAAAAATAAAAAAGCACAAAAAAAAACAATAAAACGAATTCGCATGAGTGAGGAAAATATCAGACGAAATTACAATAAAAACGAATGAAAATCAGATATAGGAAGTTTGTAAAGTACATACTTAGATCAATAAAACGAATCCAAAACTCAACAAATAAACGCGTTAAAAAATATATATAATAATACAAAAATAAATGAACGCATAGACACAAAACAAGAAAATATTCAAATAGTTTGATGAAAAAAAGGAAAAATTATAAGAAAAAGTACCTATAGGGACATTACGTTTCGGAAAAATTAATGAAACCTACTGAGGCGAAAATATATACTTAGACGCAATAATATATATTTTTTTCTTCTTCTTCGCTATTTCTACATATATACACAGAGATAGATAGACAGACAAACAGACAGATCGATAAAACACACTAGAATCAACCCTTTTTTCCCCTCGAAACGGTAAACATTCAACAAGCCACTCCCTTTTTACTCGAAAACTAAAAAAAAAAAAAAAAAAAAAAAACGAAATGATAAATGTGTGAAAACCTAAAAAGAAACGAAATAATAAATACGTGAAAAACTCAAAAGAAACGAAACGGTAAATGCAAGAAAACGGCAAACGAAACGAAATGATAAATACAAGAAAAAAAACTCAAAAGTAACAAAATTATATATACATAAATAAAGAAACTAAACGATAAATACAAGAAAAAAAAACAAAAGAAACTAAACTATGAAAACATGAAAAACAAAAACAAAAGACACGAACTGATAAGTACAAGAAAATCTCAAAAGAAACGAAATAATAAATACAAGAAAAAAAACAAAAAACAAAAAAACAAAAGAAACGGAACGATAAAAACAAGAAAAAAAGCTCAAAAGAAACGAAATAATAAATACCAGAAAGAACCCAAAAGAAAATAAACGATAAAAACATGAAACCCCCCCCCAAAAAGAAACGAAATAATAAACACAAGAAAAAAACCCAAAAGACACGAACTGATAAATACATCCCCTTCTACCTCAAGGCTATACTACGAAACTGATCATTACACCTTCAACGAGGGAACGAAACTAAGGTTAGCCTATAACATCCGCCTTTAGACAAGAGGGGAGAGGGAGAGGGAGAGGGGACAGGGAGAGGGAGGAAGGAGAGGGAAGAGGGAAGGGGAGAGGGAGAAGGAAAGGGAGGAAGAAGAGGGTGAGAGAGAGGGAAAGGAAGAGGAAGAGGGAGAAGTGGGAAGGAGAGGGGAGGAGGGAGGGACGTAGGGAGGAGGAGGAAAGAGAGAAAGACAGAGAGCGAAAGAAAGAAACCAACGAAGAGAGTGAGAGAAAAAGAGAGAGAGAGAGAGAGAAAGGAAGAGGTAATCATAAAACCACAAAACGCAAGCGAGAAAAAGAGAAGAAGAAAAGAATTTAAAAAAAATAAAAAAAATCCTGAAAAATCAAAAATGAAAAAAAAAAATAAAAAAATAGAAAACAGAAAGACTTGATCGCACACGCATAGTCGAGGTAAATCACCCACGTTCGCGAAAAGGTCAGAGCTCGACCGGCAGAGACATTTGATCACGACTTCAATCAGACACTTGGCACGAAGGCATAGCTCACCCAGCCTTCCCTCCGCTCGCTCGCTCGATTGCTCTCTCTCTCTCTCGCTCTCTCTCTCTCGCTCTCTCTCGCTCTCGCTCTCGCTCGCTCTCTCTCTTGCTCTTGCTCTCTCTCTCTTTCTCTATCGCTCTCTTTCTCTCTATATATATCCCTCTCTCTCTCTATCCATCTATCTATCTATATCTATCTCTATCTCTC